TGGGCATGGCAAAAGAGCAACCCCCTCTACATCCATACATAAAACTTCCTACCTGCCTCCCCATCCATTCATCTCTCTCTCTCTCTCTCTCTCTCTCTCTCTCTCTCTCTCTCTCTCGCTCTCCCCTCTGTATTGCTCTCTCGGACACACGCACGTGCTCGCTTGTGCATGCACGCATAAAACCCATCAATGCCTTATCGCTAGCTAAGTGTGATCCTTGCCACACCCTTGTCGACTTCCTCGTTCTGTCTCTCCACGTTATGCCACCACGCATCTGCCAAACTTCCTCTCTCTCCCCCTCTCTATGCTCTGATGGCCCTTCTACCTTGTCTGGAAACAACACCACTCAAAGGCCCCTTCACTCGTTGCGACATCCGTCAGTACCACTACGTTCAGAAGTCCCTACCTACCGGTAGTTCTACGGTTCTACCTTGGGACTGGCAATCCAACAGAAACACATGCGCAGTTTGTTTTTCTACACCCATTCATAATATCCATCAGAGGCCCACGCCAAACCGATACGGGTCCTTCCAATTTTCCGAGGTTCTGGTTCTGGGGCAAGAGCTGTCGGTCCTCAAAAACAAAAAGGACGGCTTTCCAAACAAATTCAACCGCAGTCACACCCCCTGGTCACCCTCTGCAAAACTCCTCCACCGTCACACAGACGTACTGCTGGCTGCGAATTTGATAAATTTGAGAGAAGAATATTGTCTACAGTGGGGGCCACAGGAAACGCAGCCCTAGGCCTTTTTTTGTTTCCTTTGTGTGTGTGTGTGGTAGACCCATCTATGTCATGTTCAGAGATGCCTCGGCTTTCAATTTTCCCCTTAGATCCACGAGCAACAGCGGTTGCAGCCTTCGGAGCCTACAAAAGGGTGGGTTTGTGGTCAACCCGTCTATGTCGTGTTCAGAGATCCCCGCGACCTTCAAATAGGCTTTCATTTCTCCCCTCCGTTCCGTGAGAAACGAGTTTCCAGAAATCATATCAACACACCCAACAAAGCTATGTTCGCAGGGGTCCCCTGTATAAGCCCTAGGACTGGTAGGGTGAATATTGAACGCATCTGAAAGATGACGAAAGATTTGAGAGATTGAACGAATCCACAGATTTCGCGTGAAAAGTGATACCGGAACGAGCCGGCTGACGTCGGCACCCAACAGGAGTATAAAAGGGCTTGCTTTTCCGCAAAAGCTTGGCGCGGAGGGAGAATCAGTCTCTCGGCAAAGAAAGGCTCGGATGTACTGTCCTACGAAGCCGTGGCGGTACTTCGAGCCCCTGCACTACGATTACACCCACGTGCATAAGTGCTCCAAGGTTTTCAGTAAATGAGTGACGAAACACCGTGTGCCATATTCTTGATATACAAAAAGCACCCCAAAAAAAAAGCTTTGATTAGGTCATAACATCTGAGTCGCCACCATAAGACTCAAATAGCAGCCCGCTGATGTGAGCTCTGTAGTGCATGACATGTTGTAAGACCGCAGCCTAACTGCCGCAAGTTGGGCTGGGCTTTACAGTACAGGCCAGTTTACAGTTTGCCTTGTAAATAGCCCTCACTCCCGCATCAAATAAATAACCCTCGCAACATCGCAACATACTTCGTAACCAGCCAGAAGCATACCAGCATACCAACTAACAAGCAAATAACAGTATTCACAAACTTACCCGTAGACATGTACAAGCGCTCACTGTGCTAGATTGTAGTTCCTGCGTGCCTGGGCCAAAAAGAACAGACTGGTAGCCATTTCGGAAACATCAGGGAAATTGGTACGGTCACCATGGTTGAGAATGGATTAACATAGGATTCGGGACACTTAGGTGAGAAAGATTGATTGGGGTAGATCTCGGGGGCTATGGTTTGGGGAGTGAAATAGTTAGTTGGACGATACATCATCTGGGGTGTTAGGTCGGGTGGTCACTGTTGGAACTGGGTGGAAATAAGAGTTAGGAGAAGGCGGAAACAACCTATCGCTCGGTGTCTCCATTCAGCCTTCATAGGAAGTCTGGTAGAACACAGGTCCGCGCTAGGGCCAATTGGTTCGACTGTTCTGAGCGAATTGACTGTTTTTTTTGTCTTGTATGCCAGGTTGGTCTGGCGGTTTCAAATGCTGTTGTGGCTCAAACCAGGTTGGTCTGGTTGGGTGGAACTTCTCTGCAAACCGGGTAGAATTGTGAGGACCCCCGTCTCGACTATTGCAATTCAATAAACCAGATGATGTTTATAAAAAATAAAAATAAAAAAGTGCACACCGCGTGTAGGCGCGCTCACTGCCCGCCACTGGCAAGCACGACCGCCGATTATCTAAACCCAACAACAAACTCACCGCGTGGAGGCGCGCTCACCTTCCAGGCGCACTCAAACATTGCACGCAAGGTCGCACAAGGCACTCCCCATAATGGAAGTTTAATTTTATATCACAGCCCTGGCCCAAGCAAGTAACTTTCCCTAGCGGAAGTGTGTTGCAATGCTAACACAGAATCAAACTACAGAGCCCTCCTATAACACGAGCAAGCCATCATTCTCCGCCACCTACCAAAGCGGTCTACCAATCGCCTATCAAGCTTTGTAGGCAACAATTTTCAAAGGCAACATAAGTTAAACCTCGATATCACTCGAAAGAGTGAAAACCGACTATCACTCGACAGAGTGAAAACCGATAATGAGAACCATTGGCACCAGTGAGAGCTCAACGGCTGCTGCTACGGTCACATATCGCTACAATCACCCTCTGCAATGCGCTACACAGATCAGGCACCGGTTCAGCAACTCCAATACCCTACCTCAGCGCTCGTCCTAGGACGTCCCGCCTCTACGCAGAGACATGGCCATCACCCACCGTCGACACACTAGTTACTAAACGACCAAGAATCCCCATCACATACCAAAAAGATTAAAAACGAACCTTAGTAATATAGACAAAGAAGGCATGAAGGGCAAGATCTCTGGATACTGTCGTGGCTGATCGTAAACAACGTTCTCAAAAGATAGACGCCTATGATAACACAGGATACTGCACGGGGCCCGTGGACAACATTGACCGTGCCGTGGCATACAACAACATGCAACGAAAACTCTCGATTTTGGCAAAAAAACAAAAACAAAAAAACTCCAGCTTCGGCCATGACGCGCTAATAACCCATTTCACCCACACAGCCACACGGATAAGCTAACTGCACGCTGCAATCGAAATGGCCACGCAATACTCTCCATCCAACAACACGTCGCATCCGAATCAAAACACTGACGAATAAGCTTAACCGCTGTAAGACATTACCCGCCAGACGCATCATAGAAGGGAAAATCATTATAATTGGAGACGTAAAACAGGGACGCAGCTTCTCACAAAACGAAGTGAAAGCACAGCGAATCCCGCCCAACCGTCTGCCGTCCATTGGAGACCGCCTGACCGTTTGACAGCAAAGATAACCGTCATTACTAAATCTCGGATTCCAATATTAACGGGCAGCGATTCCACCGCTCCTTTAGAGACGCATCAGTCATTGTATAATCAAATTCGTCACGGAAAAGACGCAAGAGCCTGCGAAAGACTATTGTCAAATTGCATTAACGCCAACAACTTAGTAGTTGGCCAAACAAGGACGCCAAGGTGTCAAATTGCATTAACGCGAACAACTTAGTAGTTGGCCAAGAAAGGACGCCAAGAACGATCACATCCACCACTAACGGACATATTGCATCACCCAGTGACTGCAACCTAAAACGACAACGCCACTACTCACACCCGAAACCCCCTTTCCGGTGACTGGAACCTAAAACGACAACGTCTACTCACACCACTAACGGACAGATTACATTACCCAGCGACTGGAACCTAAAACGACAACGTCAACTTTTCGAATTGTCTCAACGACGACATGAACCAGCAAGTACTACTACTACGGGGAATACGTTAGGAAGGTGAATAAGTCAACGGGAGAAGCTACTCGCTACTGAGCGACCACCATGCGTTACCTCGATGAATAAGTCAACGGGAGAAGCTAGAACAACTTCGTCCTCATCACTGTATGAATCCGTAAGCGATCATAACACTTAGTGCTCCCAAAACAAGAACGCTACCGCAAGTCATGGACAAAGCGTGCACCTCACCTCGCTAAATCCACCGCCTCTGCTGCGAAAACACTACCGCTTAAATACCAACCAAGCTGAATCGGTATAAAACAGCGAACAGTTTACCGAAGCGAAACCATAGAAAAGAGTGATCTGAACACCTTGCTCAGTCGCTCAAAACTTAACAGCAAGCCCAACACGAGGGAGTAGTAATATCCTCCAAAGATGCAATGTTTGTGAAACTCAGTCGCTCAAAACTACACAGCAAGCCCAACGAGGGAGTAGTAATATCTATTCCTCCAAAGATGCAATGTTTGTGAAATGACAAGGCAAAAAGGCATTACACTTACATCGAACACTGATGACACGCAATAGTGACATCTATTCATCTGAGTGAATTATACACAAAGAGAACAAATAAATCGAACTTAACAAAATAGAACATATCCGACCATGCACATTTCACCATCGCACATACCTGCACAACCACGAATCCACCTTTCCTGAACACAAGCACTTCAAACGAGCTGTCGCAAAACTTACTCGTATTAAGGTAAAATACATAACCAGAGTTCTCCGGCAAAAAAGTCACACGATCACTCGACAATTTTTCACCGAAATCGTACCAAGAAGTACGACCAATACGTCAGGCAACACTCATAAGCGAGAGCCCGAAACTGCAATAACAAAAACACGATCCGAATACAATTTCGAGGACGAACATGAAAACCAAATCAGCATGTCATGCATTCAATTACAGAAGCCCATCCTCGCCAGAACATTCGATTACAAAACTACATCCGAAACAAGAGTGAGCTGTCGACTTCAGACGTGCAATGCAATGCATATACTTTCATGAACGTCTTGTCGACGCGCCGTTAATAGAGCAAACAGAGAGCACCCACCATACACGACCACAACAATATTTGCAGACAAAAACCAATAGACGATCGAGTCCAGTCTGCCTTCAAAAAGGTGATCGATTACATATAGAAAACATTCCGCCAGTCCAGTAGCATTCATTACAAAGTCATCCTCCGCGCATAACTAACTTTCCCACTAATTACAAACTTGTCCGAAGCATTGTTATCAACATCAAGATCGGCGGTCTGCCAGTAAACAAAATATAAAGATCAAATAACCCCCGTGCCTCCCAAGCCCCCAATGTCCAACACCGCCCAGAAAACTAGGGGCTACCAATCACCAGCGCAGTTTCTACAAATGAAAGTCTGGACACAGCAAAGCAGACAATAATTGACCGCTCATGCGGTTCATAGTTCACTGTATTCGCGCTGAATACTTGCCACAAGTGCAATTCCCCTACAAGTTTCGATTGGATCAGGACAATGACAGCCCCAACCAACCAGTAATAAATCGGGAATTAAAAGTTTTTATCTGCTAATTTCCCGTCAGATCGCTGCCAGTATGCCTTGCAAAAACAAAGACTTAAAGAGCTCCGCTTCCTCTAGTATTCCTCTCCCTCCTCCTCTCCCTCTCCCTCCGCCGATTCCGCTCCGACTTCTTCGTAATCCTTTTCGAGCGCCGCCAGATCTTCGCGCGCTTCCGAGAACTCTCCCTCCTCCATGCCCTCACCGACGTACCAGTGCACAAAGGCGCGTTTGGCGTACATCAAATCGAACTTGTGGTCGATTCGAGAGAAGACTTCCGCGACGCTGGTCGAGTTGGAGATCATACACACGGCGCGCTGCACCTTGGCAAGGTCGCCTCCGGGAACCACCGTCGGCGGCTGATAGTTGATTCCGCACTTGAAACCGGTTGGACACCAGTCGACGAACTGGATGGTTCGCTTCGTCTTGATGGTGGCGACGGCGGCGTTCACGTCCTTGGGCACGACATCCCCGCGATACATGAGACAGCAGGCCATATACTTTCCGTGGCGCGGGTCGCACTTGGCCATCATACTCGACGGCTCGAAGGCACTGTTCGTGATTTCCGCCACGGACAGCTGTTCATGATAAGCCTTCTCGGCAGAAATAACGGGGGCATAGGACGAAAGCATGAAGTGGATTCGAGGGTACGGCACAAGATTCGTCTGAAACTCCGTGACATCGACATTCAGCGCACCGTCGAACCTCAGCGACGCGGTCAGCGAAGAGATCACCTGCGTGCGACAAGCGCAAACGAAACGACACAGCACAGAAATTAATCGTCACACAGGAGGGAAACCTTCCAAGAAGCAAACGAAACGACGTAGAACGCAAAACGCATCACATAGCACCAACCACAACCACGAGAAACGTCCACGCACACTACTCGACAGCAAACGCTACACACTCGACGACATTTACCTGTGAAACCAATCGGTTGAGATTGGTGTACGTTGGCCTTTCGATGTCCAAAGATCGACGACAAATATCGTAAATGGCCTCGTTGTCCAGAAGCACAGCAACGTCCGTGTGCTCGAGAAGCGAGTGAGTCGACAGCACGCTGTTATATGGCTCCACCACGGATGTCGAGACCTGCCCACATCACAAAGATTCAGCAACGCGTCGTCAATACATACCGTCAATCCCCCGAACCCATTTAACAAAGCGTCGTCTGAACCCGTTATAGTAGGACTCACCGCAGGGACACGACAGAAAAGATGATGATTAAGCCAAACCCGAAAACACTTCCATACTACACACGACCAACCAGTTCAGGCTGAGCCTCGAGAGGCACTGCCATCGTCACTCCAGTGAGATATCCGAGAGCGAGCGACTAATTCGGTAGAGTTCAACATCAATACTAGAACGAAACGTGTAGGGATTTCTTCTGTCACCGCCACCACAACGCTCGAGGTCTGTTTGTGCATACCTGGGGTGAAGGGTACACGGTGAAGCCAAGCTTTGACTTCTTTCCGTAATCGACTGAGAGACGCTCCAGAAGAAGGGAACCGAGGCCAGACCCTGTCCCGCCGCCAACAGCATTGAAGACGAGAAATCCTTGCAAACCCGTGCAGTTGTCCGCGAGCTTCCTGATGCGATCGAGGCAGAGATCGACAATCTCCTTCCCAACTGTGTCGTTACAAGTAAACAATGCAACCATCATGCGTCAGTCAGTCRGTACCTTTTTCTCAACCATGCGGCTGGCACGGAACCAAAACCCTACTATCACGACGCAAAACGAACGCGGAATAAACATAACATAACATACTTAAATGAACAAGAAAACCCCACCCCATTCTTGGACCTCCCAAGATCAATCCTTTTCTTCCGCCAACCGATCAGCTCCCACGTCCCCACAGACGCGCCGTGAACAGTTTGCACATCGYATAACAGACCACGAATGACAAAAGTGAAAGCCAATGCGGAAGGACTACGAGAAGGACCACGTTGGTTGACAAAGCGAACACCGAAATTCAAGAGCTGATTAAGCATTACACTTCTCGTGGCGAGTTCACGTCCTTAGGCTAGACAGCCCCAGGAAATTCGATTCCCAAGGGTCACTGAGACACCGATCGACTTGTAACTGCTCGCACACGAGCAGTCAACGCCACAGCATTCCATCGCAAGACGACTGGAAATTTTTTGAGTGAAAACCAGAACAACCACGCACAAGTGTGACATACATCATCATCTTACTTGTGTAGTGCCCGCGGGCGAAGTTGTTGGCGGCATCTTCTTTGCCGCTGATCAGTTGCTCCGGATGGAACAGCTGGCGATAGGTTCCAGTCCTCACTTCGTCGATGACAGTCGGCTCAAGGTCGAGGAATACAGCCCTGGGGACATGCTTCCCAGCACCAGTCTCGCTGAAGAATGTRTTGAAAGCATCATCACCCCCACCGACAGTTTTGTCACTCGGCATCTGGCCATCCGGCTGGATTCCATGCTCGAGACAGTAAAGCTCCCAACAGGCGTTACCAACCTGGATGCCCGCCTGGCCAATGTGGATGGAAATGCACTCCCTCATTTTCGCCTACGGGAAGTCGAGCACACGCGGGGCAGACAAACCAGACGACCGAGACCACCAACTGCAACGATCAGTCGCCGGCGTGCAATGCARCAGGAGGAGAAACGCAAGAACGAACAGAAGCGATGGCGAACGAAGGCAGTTGTCCGCGGCACAGTCGTCGAAAACCTAACGGGATGGCGAGCKCATTCCAGATACCACAGGGCGCGATGAAGACGCCTCTGCAGACCAGGACCGACTCCGCTAGCAATCTGATGAACACAATGCTCTATGTATTTGCGTTATTAGAGGCGTTACCCATTCACAAGGCGGTGTCCGTGTCGTTGGCGACACTTCCCGCATAGAGGTTTTCCTGATGCGCTTTCGAACGCCATCCTGTGGCGGGACGAAGTCTGCCACGCCCCCGGATTGGCCAATTTCGAAAGGGCCTCGTTCGCCGCCACTTGAAATTTCTTTTTTTTCTTTTTTTTTTTTACAAAGAATGAAATCCATTATAACCAAGTAACTTGAGGCCGGGGACCCCACAATTCTACCCGGAGTTATCCTGGCAGCGTCAGCCAGTTTAGCTTACGAGCTCCTGCTCGCCAGTTCAAAAAGAACTGAGACACCAAAACCCTTATTGTGAAAGTGGACTTAGAACTAGTTCTAGGAACAGAAATGGCCAAAACCAGACCGCTGTCCTGAAGTTCTAGTCCCTAAAAAAAAAAAAAACAATGCCACAGACCTGCAAAACCAAACAACCCAAAACAAGGAGGGAAAAACTAAACAACCACCTAGAATAAAAGAAAAATAATGGCCAAAGCGTAGACCAAGCCTAACAAAGAAATTAACCCAACCACTTACCTCTTCCAAAAGCATTTACCCCTCAAATCATACCACTAATTCAAACTATAGTTGTATATATATTAGCTATCTAAAACGATAGCATCACAAGAAAACGGCACTCCCTCCCAAACCATCCCTTTGCCTTCCTCCCGCTGAAAAATCGAACCGAGCACCCAGGTTCCTCCTCTGCACAACACCAGGGAGACACATCCTGTCTCCTCCTATCTAACTTGAGACTCTTTCCACCAACAGCCATTCCTTCAGGACCAGTTTCCTTTCATCATTGATCGTCGCCCAGGTTCCCCTTATACACCAGGTTTCCTCGTACTAAGGCAAAGCCCTTCCATTAGTATTCTGAACCTTGCGTCGCCAGTCAGCCTAAATAGCCTGTCTCAGACCTTTCAGTATGGTCGCCCTGACTTGCTTATTGGACCACTCTCTATCATTGAAGACCCGATCATTCCTTTCTTGCCATATTACACTGCAAATCACTGCTCTTGATACGTGGGCCATATATCCCCACCCCTTGGAGAGGGGGAGGTCGCCTGGAGTGCCTCCCAAGAGCGTTCAGATTCTATCCCATGGGAAGGACTTTTGCGTTAATTGATCCCATTTCTGTGTCCACGAATTCCAAATTAGCATCGAGGCGGGGCAATCCCACCACAGATGTGGTGTGGACTCAAAAGCCCACTTACAACGAAGGCATGTCATATTTATCTCCATACCATGTTCCATCAACCAAACCGCAGATGGGGTAGCCAACATGGATAACAACCACAAAATAGCTGCCTGACGTTGATTGGGAATCAGTTTCAATTGATTCCAACATTTCCTAAGCTGAGACAGGATTTGATTCGGCTCCAATAGCAGGATTGCACTCCACCGTGTTCTCGCAACAATCTGAGGATCTTTAGACGGCATAATCAGACTATACCCCACTCTCTGAGTATAGTCTAAGAGACACCGCCTCTGACCCGATCGACACATTGCTCGCCATTCCCACTTGGTCGGGTCAAGTTTCAGGGCCTGAATTGGTTTACCCTCTGCGAACACTGCACAGGAAAGAGAGTCATTTCTTTGCATTGATTCCATAACTCTGATTTGAACCAAACCAGACCCGATTTCAGGTTGAGTCTGAGAGTCCTCTGTTTGTAGGATGGTACTCTGCGACAGATGTCATCCTTGAAAGTTACGTTTACCATCGCTTTGAATATTGATCAATTTCCACAATTGAGAGGTCTCGCCTGAAGTCACTTCCTTGTACCAAGTTCCAGGGGGGTCAGTGGTTGTAGAGTCAAGCAGGTCTTGCCATGCCTGCGGAATCACCTCGATTAATTCCCGTCTTCTTGCCTCGACATTGTGGGACTGACCCAGGATCAATCTAATTTGATTAGTGTTTTTCCATGACCCTAGAATGTTGTCCCATAGGTCATCAACCCTGATAACTCCTTTTTCGATCCATTTTCGTCCAAAGCTCCCTGTTGCAAAGTTTGCAGCAAACCACTCTCCTGTAGCAGATCGAATATGCGGGTTTTCAAACAGTGGTTGGCACAATACCTCGGCTTTAGTCACAGGCTGTATCCATTCATCCGGTCGGAGAGTTTTCCACGCCAGGATGATTTTCAAAATGGGGACTTTATGAACCTGCGTTGATACGAACACAGCATCAAGCAGGTCCACACATCGAAGGGTCGTGGAAAGTTTCATTCTTTGGCTAATATAAATTCAGCTAAAGAAACCCCGTGGGGTTACGGGGAGTCCAGCACCGCTTTCAACATCCATTTTATAAGCATAGAATCGTTTTGTTTTTTTGGGTCCAGGATCCCCAGCCCCCCTTGCTCCCTAGGGAAGCACAGCATCTCCCAAGCAAATTTAGAAATAAATGCCTCCTCATCCTTGGCATAGGGTTGCCAAAGGAATCTGGCTGCTCTGCGTTTTACCAAATTATATAGTTGTTTCCCAAATCCTCTTATTGCCCCTACAAACCACAGCAGGGCAAAGAGGGCACCGTAAATTACCAAGCCTCTCCCAAAAAAAGATAGGTGAGGGGCTTTGCCCCAGGTAGTTAAACGGTGAAGCACTTTCTGCAGAAGCAGATCATCTTGATCCCCTGAACACGATAGCAAGGAGATTTGGACCCCCAAAAAACGCTCAGACCGCTCCACCTCAATTCTCTTCATACCTCATTGAACAGTAAGTTGGAAGTCAGATTCTAAAAAGAATACAGATTTGTGTCAGTTGACTGCAGCGTCAGATAGTTCCGAATATACATCCAGGCAGTGTTTCAACGCACCTAAAGAGGAGTCTGAGTTCTCCGTCACAGCAAATAAGTCGCCGGCTAGAGCCTTGACTTTATAACCTGCCTGACCAATTGGAAATTCCTTAATCTGGCTATTCAATCTAATATTATTAACCAGTACTTCCATTTGAATGACAAACAATAGAGGAGCCAGGGGACAACCCTATCTCAGAGACCTCGACAGAGAGAACTCATTAGACCGGGTTTCATTCGTCATGACCGCTGCGGTTGACATAGTATACATCGTTACAACCCAAGAGCAGAAGTTCTGGCCGAAGCCCATGACCTTCAAGGTTGATAGCACATACGACCAGTTAACCCGGTCGTAAGCTTTTTCAAGGTCAAGAAGAAGAACCGCGAAGTTCAAATTTTTGTTGTGTATGATCTCCAGAGTCTCTATCGCCGTCACAATGTTAGTGAAGATTGAGCGGCCTTATATGAATGCTGCTTGGTCAGGTTGAACTAGTTCAGGCAGATATCTCCCCAGACGTCGAGCCAGGATTTTAGCCAGAAGCTTGTATGAAACATTTAGAACAGAAATAGGACGTCAGTTTTGTATTTCCGTTCTCTCCCCTTTTTTAAATAACACCGAGATAATTCCTTTGCACATACTCGTGGACAACCTACCACCCATCAAGATTTGATTATTTATCTCAACCAGGTTTGCTCCTACTACCTTCCAGATGAAGATATATAATTCGACTGGAATATCGTCATCCCCTGGCGATTTGCCTTTTGACATAGATCTAAGTGCAACATATGCTTCCTCCACTGTAATTGGACGGTCCAAATCAAGTTTTGCTGCTGTCGAGACCCTTACTTTAGTATTGGACCAGTGGTCGCTTTTTTGAGTCAGGTCATCCACTACAGCAGCACCTTGAAGACGGGAAGTTAATATGTCTTTATAGTACAACGCCGCACAATTACAGATGTCTAAGGGGGCTCTGGCCAATGGGGCTTGCGCATCAAACGGGTGGCTTAGCTCTCGCATGGGGACCATGGATCTACGGGGAAGAAGACGCTGGAAGGATTGCTTCATCATGCGGTCATAGACCGCAATTCCTTTGACTTGTAGCCTGTCTGGCCAGATTTTCGACTTTTTCTTTTGAATATCATCCCATTCGGACATAAGTTTGATTCTTTCCTTACTCCACACCAAATTTGAGACTGGGTGGGATACCATTTTGACTTCTACCTTTTCAATATTACGTTGAAGGGTTTGTTCTTGGTAGTTCCTATTAGCTGCCAAAATACGTGAAAACACAGCCAACAAGTTCGAGAAAATATGAGCGCCTGTTTCCCACCACTCCGCAAGAGTAGCAAAACTTTCCTTCGCTTCCTGCCAACTAACCCATAATTTCCTCATCCAATCGACTAGTCCCTTATCGTCCAAATTATGTGTATTGAACCTAAATAGTCCACGTCCTCGTTCAGGAACTGAGACTAGAAGGTTCAGGTGAACCGGTTTATGGTCCGAAAGGGGGTTAGACATTGCGGACACCTGTAGAATCGATTCCCACAAATTTTCAGAGACAAGGAAGTAATCTAGTCTACGGCTTACAATTCCAACCGACTGTCTCGGATTCGAAAATCAAGTAAAACCTTCATCACCAGGATGGGATAAGCGAAACGGGTCAATCAATTCAAGATCATTCATTAAGTTAGTCAATGCTAGTTTGTCCCTAGGGCAGTCCGACATCTGAGCCTGATTACACAAATCCAGGGAAGAGTTTCAGTCCCCTGCAAAAATGAGTCGATCACTTTCTGGAATGATATACGTCAGCTCATCAAAGAAAGAACGACGAAGAGACGGGTCCGTTGGAGCATACAGCGAGACAATTAACCAATATTGATCGTGGAGCCATAGTTTTATCCATGCCCACCGTCCCCATAAGTCGGCGTAGTAGTCTACGATTTCAACATCCAAATTACGGTGGATTAGAATTGCCACTCCACCCCTCGAGCCCATAGCCGGGGACCACAATTGTGGTCCATCCCACCAATTCCCCAGAGAGTTGATTTTCTCTTCATTCAATTTCGTTTCCTGGATACAAGCAACTTGAATTCCTTTATAATGGATCCATGCTTTGAGTCGTTCTTTCTTGAATTTCTCGGAAGAGTCACCAAGACCCCTCATGTTTCAAGATAGGAAACGAATTTTGCTCATAT